TTAAATAAAAAAGATATTGTCAACATCTTACAAATACAGATTTTTTTTACATTTAAAACAACTATTTATTTTTAATTGAAGGATAATCACTTGACAGTATTGAATTGGTTTCTGCCATGGATCATGAATCAGTCATAGGTACACATATGTCCCCTCCCTCTTGAACCTCCCTCCCTCCTCCCAGCCCCATTCCTACCTCCCTCCCCCCTCCCCGCCTCTAGGTTGTTACAGAGCCCCAGTTTGAGCTCGCTGATTCACACAGCATATTCCAGCTGGCTATACAGATATAGATTTTAACTTCCATTTTAGAGAGCACTTAAATACAAATGAAACAAGCTGGTATTCAGATTTACAAAATAGGCCCAATGTTTTTTATTAATACACCAATTTTATAACAACCTCTGGCCTTTACTGTTCTTGTTTCTGGTTTTATGGTTTGGTGTTTATTCATCCATCCCATATTGATCTTGTGCCTATTACATATCAGACTGTGGTTCTGGAAGAGACTCTTGAGAGTCCCTTGGACTGCAAGGAGATCCAATCAGTCCATCCTAAAGGAAATCAGTCCTGAATATTCATTGGAAGGACTGATGCTGAAGCTGAAACTCCACTACTTTGGCCACTTGATGCGAAGAATTGACTCATTTGAAAAGACCCTGATGCTGGGAAGGATTGAAGGCGGGAGGAGAAGGGGACAACAGAGGGTGAGGTGGTTGGATGGCATCACCAACTCGATGGACATGAGTTTGAGTAAACTCTGGGAGTTGGTGATAGACAGGGAGGCCTGGCGTGCTGCAGTCCATGGGGTTGCAAAGAGTCGGACACAACTGAGCGACTGAACTGAACTGATGTATCAGACAGGAGAATGGAAGCATGAGATGTGCATCTCCTGCAATAGGACGGTCATTTAAACCAGTCGCAGATGTGGTACTGATGGGAGGAGGCTGAGGAGCAGAATGGATGCCTGCAGAGAAACATTATCTCTTCAGGGATCACTTCCTGGACATCTTCTGTGTGGATACCAGGAGGCTGGGGACAGAAAAATGGAAGCAGTACAATCCCTGCCCTCTCTTGACAAGCTCCCATTATGGTGGAGACAGACACAAGCAGAGAATCAATTGCTACAGACGGAAAGTGGTAAGTGTGCTAAAGGGGTGATGCTTAAGTACTATGTGTGCACGTGGGACACTTAACCCAGCCCAGAAGGCTGTGGAGGCCACCTGAAGGAAGGGGAGGGAGTCCTAGCCCAGTCTGGAAGGTGGAGTGGCGTCTCCCAAGCAGCAAGATGAGTAGGGGCTGGGGGTAGGGTGGGGCCGGGGAGGTTCCCAGGGAAGAGGACCACCGCCAGGAGCAGAGTTGCAAGCTGATCAGACACACTCCATGCAAAGGCATTGGGACTTATATCCTGAGTGTAATAAGATGATGTGATCTAAAATCTGTGCTTTGTATAGGTCCCTCTGGCCATATCTGGAGCTGGATCAGAGGAAGAAGAGGGAAGGACTACGTACAGAGACACTGTTTCTCAAGTTGAGTCTTCTCTGCAGCACAAATCTGTGGAGCTGCACCATTCCTGGGAACCACCTGTACTATTACTTAATTTCTTTTTAAAGTTAGACCACTTTAAAAAAAATAAAATTTCTTTAAACGAGTTGCTTCTACTGCTGCTGCTAAGTCGCTTCAGTCGTGTCCGACTCTGTGCGACCCCATAGACGGCAGCCCACCAAGCTCCTCTGTCCCTGGGATTCTTCAGGCAATGATACTGGAGTGGGTTGCCATTTCCTTCTCCAATGCGTGAAAGTGAAAAGTGAAAGTGAAGTTGCTCAGTTGTGTCTGACTCTTTGAGACCCCATGGACTGTAGCCTACCAGGCTCCTCCGTCCACGTCCATGGGATTTTCCAGGCAAGAGTACTGGAGTGGGTTGCCATTGCCTTCTCCTTAAATGAGTTAGTGAGTAAGAAAAAAGAAGAGACTCTCTGGCTTTAGCATAGTACTCAGGGCTAGAGGACAGAAGCTGGCAATGGCAGAAAAGTTAAAAAAGTGAAGGTGAAGTCGCTTCAGTCATGTCTGACTCTGCAACCCCATGAACCGTACATAGCCTGCCAGGCTCCTCTGTCCATGGGATTTTCCAGGCAAGGATACTGGAGTGGGTTGTCATTTTCTTCTCCAGGGGATCTTCCCGATCCAGGAATTGAGCCCGGGGCTCTGGCACTGCAGGCAGACTCTTTACTGTCTTAGCCACCAGGAAGGAGACAGTGAGAAGTGTCTGTGTCTGCTGTTTAGGCCCCAAGAGACCTGGAGATCAGGGAGCAGGAAGATGGTGGGAGTGGATGAGGGGCTGGGGCTAAGTAGAGGTCCTGATGGCTTCCATGTTGCTAAATCCTCATCTTCCTTGACGTCCTGGCAGCATGTGACCTGGTTGACCACGGTTTCCTCCTTGGTTCCATTTTCCTCCTCCCTCAGGGACCGCCCCCCATCCCCCTGTCCTGTCTTCTCTGCAGAATCCTCTCCCTCTCTGTGTTGGAGGCTCCAGGATCCAGTGTTTGTCCTGTTCTTTCCTCCCCACCGCCATGGTGATTCACCCCATCTCCAGGCTCTCAACAGCATCTCTGTGCTGATGGTTCCCAGGTGTCTTTTCAACCCAGACGTCTCCCCGCAACTCCAGACTCATATCCAACCATCTCCTGATACGTCTACTTGGGTCTCCAATAAAAGCCTTGAAATGAACATGTTCAAAATGCAACTCCTGACCTCCCCCAGACCTCTTCTGCCTGCAGTCTTCCCCATCTCAGCAATGGCTGAGCATTCTTCTCAGTTTTTGGCTGCAAACCTTGTAGTCCTTGACTCTCTCTTTTTTTTTTTTTTTCCTCACACCTCACATGTGGTTTTTAGGAAATCTTGTTGGTTTTACCTCCAGAATAGATCCAGCATTTGACTATTTCTCACTACTCTATCCCACCACCCTAAGCCAAGCAACTGTTTTCTTTGGCCTGGTCTTCCTGCTCCCAGATCTGTCCCCTACCACCCAACAGCCAGCTTCATCACTTTAAAACAACAAAGGCAAAACAACACATGCCTTTGTTGCTGTTCAGTCACTCAGTCCTGTCGGACTCTTTGCAACCCCACAGACGGCAGCACACCAGGCTTCCCTGTCCTTCAACACCCCCCAGAGCTTGCTCAAACTCATGTCCATTGAGTCACGTGCTTGCCATACTCCAACTCTTTCGATGCTTCCCCACCTCACTCAGTGAAACCCAAGTCTGCACAAAGGCCCACAAGGCCCGCAGTGTCCCCTGTCCCCATCTCCCCTGTCCTTCAGCACCCCAGCCCTTCAGTGTGGGATTACTGAACACACCAGGTGTCCCCAACTTCTGCCGTGCCCTGCCTCTGCCTGGACCACCCCTCCCCACCTCCTGAAGGCCTCACCTCCTTCAAGTCTTCAAGTGGATCCCACCCTCTGCTCCCAGCTGCTCTACTTTCCCTCCCGCATAGCTTTCTAACCTATCAGTACAATTAATTAATTTTGTTATGGCCTGGTACCCCCAAGTCGGATGCTGGAAGAAGGCAGGGAATATTGTCCCCTGTGTTCACTGCAGGTGTGCCCAGCACCTAGAGCAGTGCCTGGCATAGAGGCCAGTCTCTCAATAAATACTTGGGGAAGGAAGGGCAGAGCCTGGAGAAGGGAGCTTCCACTTGGAAAGGCCAGCTGGGGCCAGGAGTAGGCAGGGGGGGAAATGCACAGAAGCTGGCCGGGGAAAGGAGTGACAGAGGAGTGATGCGGCTTGGGGGTGCTGGGAGGGGCGGCAGTGGTGGGGGGGGGGGGGAGGAAGAATACTGGGTGGCCGGACGTCCAGACGCGCTTCCCAGAGGGCTAAAGAGGTGGGCAGGGATGGAAGTTCGAGGCTGGTGGGGGCGTCCGGAGTTGCGGGGGGTGGGGTGGGCAGAGAAGAGGGGGAAGGACAGGCACTTGGGATGGGGGCTGCTGGGGTGATGCTGGGGCGACCACTCGGCGGACACCCACCCTACCCTGGCCGCGCGGGGGCAAGGCGGGGAAGCTGGAGAGAAGCGCCGTCTCATGAGGTCGTGGCAATTTTGCGGCTACTGTCAGGAAGCGAACAATCTAAAGTGGATGAACGAGTGGGGGGGTGTGGTTCTAAAGCCGGACAGTTTCGGGGGGCGGGGGGTGGGGGCGGGTAAGGCGAGGAGGGACGCGTCTGCGCTTCCTCGGGTAAAAGGCAAAGGAGCCTCGTGAGGAAGGGGGACGCTCTCGGAGAGGTGAGAGGGGCGAGAGGGTGCAGGGCCCCGGCTCCACCGGCCCCAGGCCGGGAGATGCCCGAGGCGGCAGAGCAGCGGACCGCGGGGCGCCGTGAAGATGCAGCCGCCAGGTTGGGAGAGGAGGCTCCATCACTGGAGCGGCGGTGGGCTTGGAAGAGCGCCCAGGGACCCGGGAAGGAGGCACCGGGGCCCGGCCCGTCCGGCGGGTGCGGCGGCCGAGCACGGTGACCGCGGGGCACAGCGGGGACGCAGCGCCCGGCCTCCTCAGCCGCGGGCGCGCCAGGGACCGCCGAGCGGCCACAAGTGCGCGCCCGCGGGCCTCGCGGCTTGACCGGAGCCTGGGCCGGAGCTGGGCCCCGGAGCTCCGGGCGCGCCGCACGGACGCGGCCACGCGGAGCTGCCGGGCCCCGCCCCGCCCCCCGGGGCCCGTCGGCCCCGCCCCGCGGCCCGGCCCTCCGGCCAATCAGACCGCGGCGCCCGCCCCCCTGGCCCCGAGGCCCCGCCCTGTGCCTGCATCGCCAGCCAATGGGAGGCCGAGGCGGGGCGCCCTGTGCGCGCTGCCCGTGCCCGGCCGGCTCCGAGCGAGAAAAGCCGACCCAACCCGTCGGGGCCGCCGCTCCGGACCCGCCGCCGCCGCGCCGCCGCCGCCACCTCCTCCCCCCCGGATCGGGTGTACTGTCCCAACCCGAAAGTCCAGTTCTGCGGCCCGGCAGCGGCGAGCGAGCGCGATGACACAGGAGTACGACAAGTGAGTGAGGGCGCCGGCGTCCGCGAGGCCGGCCGTGCAGCCGGGGCCGCTGCTGCCCGCCCGGCCAGCCGGCCGGCCGCACCTGCCGCGAGGCCGGGCGGGGGACGAGGGGCCCGGCGGCGGGAGGGGGCGTGCGGCTCGCCGTCCGCGGCCTCCGCTTCTCTGCATACCCACTCTCTCATTGTTTCTCCAAAGCCCCCGCCCCCCCCCCCCCCCACCTAGGGGGAGACCCCTGCCTTGGGGGGTGCGGGCCTGCTCTCCGGAGTGGAAACCCCCACCCTGCCCGCAGCTTCGGGGGCCTGGTCTGGGGTGGGCGGGCCACCCCTCGGGTGAGCCCCGATTCTGCTCCCCGGGGTAGGGGGGCGCGGAGGCCTCGCGTCCCCCCGCCCCCAACCCGGGCGGCTTTGCTCTTTGGGACGCTCTGCGGCTGCAAAAGGGGAGCCTTCTCAGGTAATCAAGTCTCTCGTCGCTCAACCGTGTCGTTCGGCCGCCTGCTAGAACCTCGGAACCGAGAGATCTAGGGAAAAGTTGAAGTGCTCGGGTGTACTGGCATTTTCTCTTTTTTCCCTTGGCCGACTGTGTGAGTGAGAACATTGCTGTGGGAGTTCTTTTGCCGCTTGCATCATTGGTGGTAATTACAGATTGCTGTAATTAAAAATGCTCAGAAATATCAAGAAGGGTGAGACTTTGAAATCAGTGTGGTAAACTAGGAAGCTTTGTCCTTACTAATAATGCTTTCATGGAGCTCGTGATTGAAGAAATGTTTTCATAAACTGTAAGGCAGTAATGTAAGCCGTTAATATTAGGAGACACCGGGCCAGGGATGCTTCTGTATCTCCTTTGCAGCTTTTCTGTAAATATAAAATTGTTCAGAAAAAAATGCAAGTCGCACCCAACCAATCAGTTATATTTGAGATCAGTGAATCCAGGGCACAGCGGTGCTTCTCCCAGTTTTGTAATTATTTGCTGAGAATCATTTTGTGTAAGGGTGCTATTTTTCTGGAGGAGAGGTTTAGATAGTATTATGTATGAAACAGCTTAAGTGGAATAATTTAAACTTATGTTGTACAGTATGCAGATAAATTATTGCTTGAAAATATATAATTCAAGGAGACGGCAGTGATGAGCCTTTAGGGAATGTCATGAGGAAGTAGACTAAAAAAGGCAGCTGGTTTCGTGTTTATTTCTTGACTTATAGTTTAGATAAGGCATATTTCCAGAGCTAAAATTTTGGCCTGAGGCACAGTTTGGAAATAGTTTAAGACACCTTCAGGGTGATCACACACAAAATCATTTGCAAAGAATATTTATTTTCTGTTGCTTGTGCAGATTTGGGATGAGGGTGGGAGAAGAAGGGAAGCTGAAGAACTTACAGGAGGGGAACTGAATGAGCCAAGTGCTGTCATATAGGCTTCTGGAAGTAGCTATTACACTATTAATATTACAGCTTAGCCAGACCCCAGAGAGTCATCCCGGGGTACCACTGGCTCAGCAGCTCTTGTTCTGTCCTCCTGGTGGCACAAGGAATGCCCCTTTGTATATTCTTAATTTTTTTTTTTTAATTTGAGATTTGTAGGAAGTCTTCATTTTTAAACTGAACATGCACTTTGAACAACCCATTGTGTTTGTTTTGTGTTAAAATAGTATACCACCTTCAAGATTTCTTTTCCTACCAAATGTGCACTCCTTGAAATAAGATTTAATTTTGACTGAGGATGAATTAAGTTGTTGGATTTCCTCCCCCTCTCCTTTTTCAGAATCTGTTTTTAAAGGGCCTAGGTGACTGCCAAACCCTAACCTTGTTGATTACTTGAGAAGATAATCAGTCTTTCTGCATTCACTTTTAGAGTAGGTAGGTCACCTTTAGGCAATTTACATATTTCATTTGTGTGTTGCAATGAGACTAGCTCCTTTAATTTGCTTGTTAGAATAGTGATAAATTGAAGTAGTTCTGAATATTTAAACTTTTTTTTTTTTCAAAGAAAGAAAGTGCTTGATTTTGCTGGAGGTAGTTTTCCACTTTTTTCTTTTTATTGACTTACTAAACAGAGCCAACTGAACAGTTGTTGAGGCTGTTTACATTTCAGGTTTTTGGAATCAGTCATGTTTGCTTTACTCTTTTAAGTTAAATCTTCTATAAGACTCTACTGAAGTTCTCTGTTGATGTTCTGGATTTTTCCCACCAAACTACAGCATTAATATGAAGCAGTTCTTGCCCCATGTGAAAAACCAGGAAAGATTTTTGAGGACAGATTCCCCAACCTAAAAAAAAAAAAAACTTATTTCCTTAAAAAAAAAAAAATCTCTTTTTGTCCAGCGGCTTCATTTATTATTGTAGATTCTTAAGTGTTTATCTCTAAGATAAACAGTGAACTCCCAAGCCAGAAAATTGTGTCTCCTTATTGGTTTACAGTCCCCTTTGGCCACATTCCATGCTCAATCTGCTGGTAATCAGTAGAATATTCTAACTTTCTCATATACCCCCGAGGAGTAAACCAAGTTATCCCTTCTTCCTTCCATCCCCCCTTCTCTCCCCCTTGTTGGTCGTTTGAGGCATGGCATCACCCAGAAAAGGAGGGAAATAGCTGTATAGCAGCTTGAGGATGGAACCGGATGTACTGTTGAAGAGGGGACAGTCCTGAGCGCCTGTGTTTGAGGAGAGTGCGTGTTCTTAGCCTTACTTTGTCCTTGTGTTTGTTTATGTAAAGCGTTTGAATCGCTTCACACTTTCTTGGAGTGAGTTTTTGACTCTTGGTTTTAGTGGGGGGTTTTTTTGTGTCACTTAGTGTGTCCTGGGTTCCACGTGAAGGTTAACTGCAGGTTCCCTGGCTGTCTAAATATTGTACATCTTCCTGGGTGACCCATTGGGCTACATTTAAGTGGGTTGTCTTCTGATCGTGTCTTAACTTACTTTACTAATGATGAAATGATGAAACAGTGGACTCTTTTATTGCAAAATCAGGAATTGGCTGTTTGCTTTTTCAAAAATTAGCTTATGATGATTTGCAATAGAAGAAGATGTGAGATATATATATACACACACACACACACACACACATAAATATGTTGTTTTTTTCTTTTCTTTTTAAAAAAAATCTCTCCCAAGCAAACGGCCAGTGTTGGTTCTTCAGAATGAAGCACTTTATTCACAGCGGCGTTCCTATACTAGTGAGGATGAAGCCTGGAAGTCTTTCCTGGAAAACCCGCTCACTGCAGCAACCAAAGCGATGATGAGTATCAATGGCGATGAGGACAGTGCTGCCGCGCTGGGCTTGCTCTATGACTACTACAAGGTGGGTTTGCTTGCTCTTCAGAACCCCGTAACTACTGTCCAAGGTGCACTTGATCCAACAGCATATAAAACAGTAATTTGCTGGTAGACTGTAATGCAAGTTGCTTCTGTACTGACTATAAATAGTTTAATGAGTGCTTTGACATACTGTGGTTCAAAGCTGAAAATCTACAATCACAGAATCAAAAGGTTGCTTCTAAAATGTATGAAGTAGCCAACTGTTTTGGCTCTATCTGAAAGGTGAAGCTACTGCGAAAGAAGAAATTCTCTGTGCCTTAATGAGGTCGATCATTTCTTCAGAGGTAGCTCTTAGCACCATCTAGAGTGGACAGGGGTTCCCTTTGCCTGTGTGCTAGCCCTTTCTTCCTAGGTAGTTGTCGTGGTTTCCTTTCCCTTAAATGGTATTGCGAGCATCTGATTTGATTTGATTGTGAGATTTCTTGGGGGGAAAAAAAACCTCATATTTTCTAGATTTTCTAGTTTAAGGTTCAGGATGTATTTTACTGTCTGTTCCTTGAGGTTTAGATTAGTTTTAATTCAGTGCAGTCTGTCCTCTGCCTGAAGCTTTACCTGGTGTTTGTGTCTGGATTGATACCCCTGGTCTGTGTCGTCATCATTAGCCCAGTGATACTAGCTACCACCTACCGATTACCTATACTGTGCTAGACGTGTTAGCAGAATGCATGTTGTTTCTGATCCCTCTGGGAACCCTGCAAGATCTGTGCCATTATCCCCATTTTGCGGGTGATAAAAAATAAGGTTCTCCGGTCACATGACTAGTATGTGCAGCCAGGACTTCGGGTTGTGCCAGGCCCCCTCTTCTATATGCCATGCTGCCTCCTGGGGGCGGGGCTTTGCTTGCTGTGTTCACTGTGGCATCCTTTTTAACCAATAACCCACATGCAGGGACGGCTATATATTACAGTTTATTTTCACCATCTTTTTGTCTTTAAAACTTCCATACCTGTAGAAAAAATAACAAGATAGCTAACTCTCAGATACTTTCACCCAAATTCACCAGTTTCCAGCTCTTTGTTACCTTCTGACACTGTATTCTTTTTGGAATAAAAAAAATGCACAGGGTAAAAAGCAAAGAAGATAGCTTAATTATCAAAATTGGGTGGGGAGGGTGAACCTAAACCAAAGCTCTGTTTTCTGATATAAGGCCATGTGTCCAGCTTGTGTTTGAGGGAATGAGGTAAGTTTTTTTTCCCCCTTAGATACGAATGGAAACTTGCATAGTAACCAAGGATGCTAGAAGAAACTTTGCCTGGGAAGTGTAGCCACAAAAGTTTCCTTTGAAGTAGAACTCATATATCTGTTCTTCTTGTGGCTTGTTTTATTGACTCAGTATAGAAACTGTAAGTTCTTAAGTATTAATTATGAAGTTTGAAGTTAGATATTTTTAACTGAAACTTTCGAGAATGGGAGGAAACCAACAAGTTTAGTGCCAGAAAAACCTGTGGAATACACTAGTTGCAGTGATTTTATGTGCGTGTGTTTTAAATAAAGGGTCCTGAAAGTATTATACATCTTAGGAGGAGATAAATCCTCATGTCTGCCCATCAAGGGTGGCAGTCTTAGTGGTACTATATGTCAGCCTTCTTGCAACAGATGTCCGGTTACTTATTTTCCTTTTTTAAAAACTGACTTGTGCTCGCTTCGGCAGCACATATACTAAAATTGGAACGATACAGAGAAGATTAGCATGGCCCCTGCGCAAGGATGACACGCAAATTCATGAAGCGTTCCATATTTTTTAACTTGGAGGTGCCCCGGATGTGTCCATCTACTGCTCTGATGCCTCAGATATCACTCGTTCTTTTCACTTAAAGAAAAAAAGATAAAAACAAAACAGTAATTGTTGCAGAGGTCTCTGTATTTTGCAGCTGCCCTTTTGTAAGACGCACTTTTCCCAAATAAAACAATTTTTAAACCCCCCCAAAAAAAAAAACTGACTTACTTGTTTCAACTCTTTCAGTCATTTTTCCATAATAACCTTGGTAAAGCTTAAAAAACACGTTGTTACTACCAGAAACAATAATTCCTTCTGCCTGTAAGGGTAAAATAAGAATGTAGAAATAGAGTTTCTACTTTTACATTGAAAACTAGTTTCAAACGTCTTAGTTTTTGGAGTGTGTGTTGCAGAGAAGTCTCAGTTGGGTTGATGTCAGCAGGACATCCACTAATGTTGGCCTGCTCTCCCCTGTGCAGAGAAGCAGACTCGAAAAAGGAATAGACCCAACAGAGTCCACTTTGTCCTTTGAGTGATAGACATTGTGAATCCCAGTGTCTCTGACAAAATGTATCATTTGGAGCCACCTTTTGGATCTTGGAGTGAATTGTTAATGTGGCTGATGCCTTTGATTTTGCATTTGATCCGAAAGGAAGGGTAGCAGAGAAGAGCAGGGAGAATGCTGAAAGAGCCTGGTTGTCTTTTCAGTAACTTCTTCTCTGTCATGTTACATAGATAAACGGGCTTTGCCCGACCAGAGATTTCTCTTAAGAGATGAAACCCACATTCATGACAAAGTAGATTTGTGATGTTCTGAGTTTCTTTGGCAACTGAATAGAAGCTGGTTTTTGCATATCAACCCAGTGACCAGATTGTGGACTCCTGGAGAGCAGACACTCTCTTACGTCCTTGGAGCCTGGGGTTCGGTAGGCAGTCCATAGTCACCTGAAGGGTTGCACTTACTGAAAAGTAGGGATTATGTCTCTACTTCAGGAGTGAGAATTAAACTGTGGTCCTGTGTGTTGATATCTCAGGTTCCGAGAGAGAGAAGGTCATCAGCAGCAAAGGCAGATGTTGAGCACCCTGAGCCGGACCATAGCAAAAGGTAAGGTTTAAGACAGAGCGTGGAACAGTATGCTACAAATTCCCGGTTTCTGTGAAAGTTAAAGCAAGAGCTCGTTTAAGTGAACAGGAACTAGAGGAAGACATGGGTAATTTGGACTCTATATCTGAACACAGATTTCATTACTGATCTGCCCCTTACTCTGATTCTGTTACTGAGAAGTCACCAGTTTCTGTAGGAGAAGTTCTCTTTTCTCGAAAACAAAAACAATTAACTTTCTCCTCATCCAAAGGGATTTTTTTTTTTCATTATTAACAACATGACTGCACTGTTTCCTTATTTGTCTTTTAGGTTCTCTTAAGAACAGTGTTGCTTAAGGCAATGGCAGGGGTCCATTTAAAAAAGTCATCACCAATGACCTTAAATAAGTACCCATGTGAAACTTAAGTACCCATGGTACTTAAATAAGTATCATGTGAGTATGTTCAGCTGTATTCCAAATGCCTATCGAGGTTATTTTGGAAATATTTTAAGTTAAAACTTTCAGAAAATTAAGGCTTGACTTTATAGACCTGGGAAAAAAGCTGAATATATCTTTTAAATTGTTCTGAGTTCTATTAGTAGTACAAGAATGAAACATTTTTGAAGAAAGAATGATCACTTGGAATCCCACTCTGCTGACAGTTTATTTGTTTACTGTTTGGGCAGGCAGGTGCATTTTATGTGGTTGTGGTTGTATTCACAGGTAGGATTTTCTTCTACTTAATATGTTACATAAGTTTTTCTACATTGCTGTTTTAGTCTTCATAATTTGGAAAAGGGCTTATAGCTTTTATTTTTTACTTTTTGTTATAGGCACTTTCAAACATAACAAAAGTAGAGAAGTAGCATAAGCCAATAGATACTCAGCTTCAACTGTTATCAGCTTAATTCCTGCTGTTTGATCCTTGTTGCTGCTGTTGTTGTTCAGCCCCTAAGTCATGTCCGACTCTTGTGACCCCACGGACTGCAGCACAGCAGACTCCCCTGTCCTTCACTGTCTCCCGGAGTTTGCTCAAATTCATGTCCATTGAGTCAGTGATGCTATTTAACCGTTTCATCCTCTTTTGCCCCCTTCTCCTGCTGCCCTCAATCTTTCCCAGCATTGGTGTCTTTTCCAGTGAGTTGGCACTTTGCATCAGGTGGTCAAAGTATTGGAGCTTCAGCTTCAGCGTCAGTTCTTCCAATGAATAGTTAAGTTGATTTCCTTTAGGATCGACTGGTATCTGTTTGATCTACTCTTCCCTTTCTCCAACTTTCTAATTAGTTAATATTTAAATTTTATTTATTTTTGCTGGAGTATTTTAAATCAAACCCTAGCTATCCTTAGTATCAGGGATATATCTGATTTTTGCTGTTACAAAGCCTTAATGAACAACTTTCTAGATAGCTTTTTCTTTTTTCTTCTTTTTCTCTAAAGAAATTTCTTTAAAATAGTCGTGGGAGTGAATTTATGGTTTTAAGTTTGAATATTTTATTGATCCTGAAATCTGCCACTTTACCAAATTGTTTTTTCCTTGTAAGTATCAGCCTGTATGATTTGAGGGAACTTTGAAAATATATGAATTTTACCCTAAACTACATATCATCTTATATTGCCCAGGATATTTGTCGAGCCAAAAGTAACTCTATGTTGATGTATATGATGGTTCACTATAATCATGGGGTGAGGGGGTGGGGTTGCTGAAAGCAAAAGTGTTATTCGCTTAGTCCATGTCTGACTCTTAGTGACCCCATGGACTGTACCCCGCCAGACTCCTCTATCCATGGAATTCTCCAGGCCAGAATACTGGAGTGGGTAGCCGTTCCCTTCTCCAGCGGATCTTCCCCACCCAGGGATCGAACCCAGGTCTCCCGCACTGCAGGCAGATTCTTTACAAGCGCTGAGCCATCCCGGAAGCCCCCAGGAAAAGTGACGGCTGTGGGCCCCCGTGTACCAAGCATCACTGCATGCTTTTCAGCATACTCTCCTTTCATCCTCATCACAACCTTGTGAGGATAGGTACCGTCATTATCCTCATTTTTAGATGAGCATGTAGTTACCGAGAGATCTTGAATCTACCTTGTCTGACTCTGGCATCTATACTTTAACCTCCAGCCTATACTGCTGCGGTTAATCACGAGTGTAGCTTCAGACTGCTAGTAAAATATGACAATTTTATGGGGGTTATTGGAAATAAAATATAATAGAGGAAAGCTCTGAGTTCTCAGCATTCCAAATGAAGTTTTACTCAGTGCTTTGACCTGTAACTAGAGGGCTTTTTCCTTTCTCTTGTGATGGGTTATCATGCCATTGCCTATTCATTTGGCTTCTACCAAGTGGGTTATTATTATTATTGCCCAGGACCCAACAGCCCAGTGCCATTCGGAAAATTATAATTGTCCCGGAATTGTGTCAGCTCTGAGTTTGAAAACACGCTTCTCTCTCCTTAAAGAAACATAGCAAACGTGACGGAGCAGCCCCTCATCTCTGCCGGCGAAAACAGGGTGCAGGTGCTGAAGAACGTGCCCTTCAACATCGTCCTCCCCCACGGCAACCAGCTGGGCATCGACAAGAGAGGACATCCGGCAGCCCCCGACACCACGGTCACCGTCTCCATCGCGGCGGTGCCCACCCACTGCATCAAGACGGAAAGCCAGCCCCACGGCTTCGCTGTGGGCGTCCCCCCAGCAGTGTATCACCCCGAGCCCACGGAGCGTGTGGTGGTTTTCGACCGGAACCTGAACGCTGACCAGTTTGGCTCCGGCACTCAACCCCCAAACGCGCAAAGGCGCACTCCAGACTCTACCTTCTCGGAGACCTTCAAGGAAGGCGTCCAGGAGGTACAGGAAACGCAAGCATCTTCCTAAGACGCTGCGTATTTGTTTAAGTGTTGGGTTCCCCCTCTTCCTTGTTATGTAAGCTTGAAACTCAGCCTGAAGTGAGTGGATTGGGAACAAAAGAGGTTTCTTTTTTTTTCTTTCTTTCTTTTTTTTTTTTTAAGAGAAAAGATCCACGGGTATAATTTGTAAACTAAAACTATAAAACCAGAAATTATTATCAAGGGCACATGGCTAATCTTACCAGCAGCTAAGTTAACAATTATGATTTCAACCAAGCTCTTTGCTGGAGAGCAAGAAAGAAAGCTGCATACATAATCTTCCACAGACAACAGACACAGCCTCACAGTCTGTTTTTGGCTTTGGTCCTCAGCCAAAACAACCTCCCCGCAACCGGTCTTAATATAAAAGGAGTTATCATGTATTTGCCTCATATTTCTTGGTTGGCAGTATTGTCGGGGAGCAGGTAGATCTTGATGACAAACGCACCGTGTGACATTTACCCATCACTTACAATACTTCCGAGGGTTTCAGGGTGATAAACACATCACTCAGGTCAAAGTGAGGGACTGAGGATGTTTGGAACTGTGTTTAATGACTCATGGTGGGGTCAGAGAGTCCCTCCCCGCTTACAGAGTGAATAGAACAGTAGCCTTTCCTGAGAAGGTGCCCCGCTCCAGCCAGCCACAGTGCCAGCCTGGTACTGTTGTCTGAACTAGGTGCAGTGGCGGAGCTGACTCCTAAGGGTCATGAGATCTGGGGTGCAGACCCCAGAGTTTGGGCAGAAGTGGGATGTGTGGGAAGGGTGGGAGAAGAGAGAAGGCAGTGCTTAATGGGAGCACCTACATAGATTGTCTTAGTTTGACCAAGTGGCGTATAAAATGGACATTTTTTTCTTTCTAATTTTCTCTTTAAATTTTTTGTAGAGTTAAAATTTTTGTCTTAGACAAGGTTTAAAAGAGTGGTGGGTTGCCTTAAGCCACAGACTCTGATGCTGTGCCCGACGTCGGTCTGCGGTGAGCCTGATCACCAGTTACATCCTTGTGGCTTATCACATTGGTATTTCAGGTTTTCTTCCCCTCGGATCTCAGTCTGCGGATGCCTGGCATGAATTCAGAGGACTATGTTTTTGACAGTGTTTCTGGGTAATAGTTGTCTTTCAGTTTGATTTTTAACTTTCAACTTGTGCGACTTTCTATTTATTAATTTGATCTTGAAAAATCAGAGGTGGCTTTTGGTGGCTTTCAACTCTACCTTCTTGCAGTTAGTGTGGTGACATCTTCGCTGGAGGACGTTTGCTTTGTTTTAGTGCACTCAGTTTTGATCTCTGAACTGTGTTTCTTGTTTCCCTAATGCTTGGTGTTGGTGCTTTTCCTTCCCTTTGGTTTCTTTATGTGATATAGTGGGGTGGAATCTCAGAGAAGACATGAAAGATTAAATCAGATCTGAGGTCCCTTCTGTTTCCAAAAGTATATAATCCTGTGATAATTTAGGGATAGCATCAAGTGGATAAAGGCTTTTGTATTTTTATTTGTCTCACTATAAGCCAACTGTTTACTGGGCTGACAACCTCTTTTATGCATCACAGAATTGCATCTCACTCTGCAAATATGAATATTTTCAACTTTATATAAAAACATCTTCAGGTTTTTTTAGGAGTCTAGGATTTCATTTTGTAATTTCATTTTATGCATTTTTATGAGTGCTGTATTTTAAAATAAAAGTTTTATTTCAAAGTCTAGGATTTTACAGGAATCTGTAAGGCACACCTGCCTCAAGGTCCAGAAATCACAAACTCTGGTCCCTTCAGGACCTGAGATGCAGGGGTCGGCAGGCATTTTCTTTGAAGGATCAGATAACAAATATTTCAGGCAACGTGGGCCATACGGTCTCTGTGAAACTGCCCAACTCTGCTCAGCTCCGGGCTGTAGCACAGAAGCAGTCGTAATACAGAATCAAAGGGCATGGCAACATTCCAGTAAAACTTTATTTATAAAGATAGGGGAAATGTGCCAACCCCCGGCCTGACTGGGTTATTAAACAACTTCAGGGGGATATATAGGTGGGGCTAGAAAATAATAGAAAATGTAGAGGACCATGGAGTACCATCCGAGGACATTTAAATTATAGGTAAAAACAACAAAAAAGTGCTACACGGGCCAAGTCAGATTTCGTCAGAGGCCTGCCAGCCTCCTGTTTGCAACCCTTGCTGGGTAAGCACTGGGCTGGCAGCATGTCCTGTGATGTCTTCCAGAGTGCTTGTCACCTATTCGTAGCTTTAGTATCCTTAGCCTCCAAACCCCTAGTTTGTTAACATGGCTTCATAGGTTCTCTAGAGGTGGTCTGTAGTCCCACATCTAGGAGGACCTCTGGGCTGCTTGAGGTGATCTGGGGAAGAGCAGCGAATGCTGATGGTGACATGACACTGTCAATTGAGATGTTTCACCTGATGTGTGCATGCATCCACACTGCAGCATCTCACGTCTGAGCTCAGACATAGGGAAAGCTTCCAAGGGGGTGGATTAGAGGTCTGTGACTTTTATTGTGTTCTAGGAACAACTTTGAATACACCCTGGAAGCCTCCAAATCGCTCCGACAGAAGCCGGGAGACAGCACCATGACGTACCTGAACAAAGGCCAGTTCTACCCCGTCACACTGAAGGAAGTGAGCGGCAGCGAGGGCGTCCACCACCCCATCAGCAAAGTCCGAGTGAGTCCTGCCCTGGGCCAGTTGGAGCTCACTATTTCCAGGTCCTAGGCGGATCTAAATTAAGATCCCCGTGGTTGAGACTCTGTGCTCCCACTACAGGGGGATTGGGATCCATCCAGGCTCTGGGAACAGGGATCCTGCATGCCACACAGGGTGGCCAAAAAATTAAATAAATTTTAAAAATAATGAAATTTCGTTTTCATTTCAAAATAATGAAATTTCATTTCAAAAAATTTCAATTTCAAAATAATGAAATTTTTTTTAATTAAAAAAAATTTTTTTTTTAAACTTTTTATTTTGTATTAGGGTATAACCAAATAAAAATGCTGTGGTGAAAACAAAACAGTGTTGTAGTAGTTTCAGGTGAACAGTGAAGGGACTCAGCCATATATATTTGCATGTATCCATTCTTCCCAAAAACCCACTCCCATCCAGGCTGACACATAACACTGAGCAGAATTCCAGTAGGTCTTCATTGTTTTTCCATTTTAAATATAGTAGTGTGTACATGACCTTTCCAAACTCCGTAACTATCCATCCACCCTTCCACCCTGACACCCAGAAGTTCGTTTTCTAAGTCTATGATTCTCTTTCTGTTTTGTAAGTTCATTTGTATCATAAAATTGCTGTCGCAGTTCACTGCAAAATCAAAAAACTAGGTTTTCCAAAAGATACTCAGCCCATAGTGTCTTTACCTGGTAACGTTTCCTGTCTCCCAGAGTGTGATCATGGTGGTTTTTGCTGAGGATAAGAGCAGAGAAGACCAGCTGAGGCACTGGAAATATTGGCACTCGCGGCAGCACACGGCAAAACAAAGGTGTATTGACATAGGTAAGGAGCTCTGGAGCTCGCTTCCATTCCCAGAGGCGCTCACATCCAGACTTTTCTAAATCCAGTTATTTTTGGCAGTGATCAGCTTCCTGCCGAACGCATTTGAATTTTTCTGCCAGCCACTGCTCCGTTCCAAACCCTGTCCTTGGCCTCCTGGAATTGGTTCTCTTAACGTTACTTCCTTCATGAGGACAGGTGCCCCGTGCAGAGGCTTCCCACGTGACGCCAGGGCCCGGAGCTGCGGAGCCTGGCTCATATACTGTCTTCTCTAGTTGCACGCTGAGCTGCATTGCAAGTCTCTTCTGTCTGTAAATACACCCAAAGATTCATCATCACTCACGGTACAGCAGCAGACCCACGCACGTCGTATTTTGTCAAGTAGCTTAGTGAAAATCCTGTTCTTGATGTGAGCGTGACCTTCATGTGAAACCACTGTCTAGGTCACAGAACAGCTCTTAATCTTTGAGTTACTTCTTTTCTTTGCCTTTGGTAGTGTTCATGTTCTCTTTCAGAAGTATAAAAAGAATCAAGTTCCAGTCTTGATTCTCTGGACTAGTTCTGTGGCCTTGGGACAGTTATTTAAACCTTTTAGACCTAAATGTCCTAATTTTGACATAATGGGATAAAATTAAATACATCTAAGCTTGCCTCTGTGAAAAAGATTCTGTGATTCTTTTTCTACCTTCTTTGAACTTCTTCCAACCCAACAAAATATTAATTTAAATTATCCAACAATGATTATATGAAAAGCTGACCCTTACAGTGAACTGTATAATCTCACTGTATAATAACTGTATAATCTCACGTTGGAGACTGGAAATCATGACTTCTCTCTCACCCCTCACCCAGCTGACTACAAAGAAAGCTTCAACACCATCAGCAACATTGAGGAGATCGCTTATAATGCCATTTCTTTCACTTGGGACATTAACGATGAAGCAAAGGTAGGTGACCGGCTCCTGGAGGAGTGGGAGGGGCCTAGTGATTTGACAGCTGTTTTTTTTTTTTTTTCGTAGTTTTTCTCGTTTTCACTCCTTTGCTACGGAGGAGGGAGACCAGGTGGGGCTAGGAAGGCAGGTCACAGCCATGGTCCTGAGGGGCTTGGAGCAGGACGGGACTCCAGGAGAATAAACAGTCCCCTCCTTGACCTGTCCCCGCATCCTGTTCCTTAGCCAGCTGGGTCTCACTTTCTGCCTTTTCATTAGTGCACATTTTCTGGAAGCACAGCATCTTCCCAGATGTTCTAAAACCGTCCCTCTCCCCTTTCTGTTCTTTCTTCCTCCCCAAAATACAGTCTTGGTGGACCCTCCATGTCCTGGGTAGCGGGGCCCTGACAGGGCCGGCAGCCACCATCCGGCCTCAGTTTGGATTCCTCAGTCTGGGCATTGCTTCCTGCTTTGTGAAGTGGAGTTAATCCATTTCTGCTCCCTCCTGCAGGCATGTTGTAAGGGTTGTCGGAACAGGGCTGTGAAGCTGGGGGAGTTTCTATAGGTTGTCATCAGCAGGTTCTGTCTCATGTTGATGCCTTGTGAAGGCAACTTGGTTAGTTAGGGTTCTTCTCTCTTGGGCTTTGACAAGTGAAGAACTGCCTCCAATTCAGATGGTCATTTGGAAGTTTTAGTACCTTTTATGAAAAACTAAGTATATTTTAAAGTGATTCCTGCCCTTCCCACAGCCTTCTTTTCTTTTAGTATAAAATATTAGTACTCATTGGAAAAGACCCTGACGTTGGGAAAGATTGAAGGCAGGAGGAGAAGGGGACAACAGAGGATGAGATGGTTGGATGGTATCATGAACTCGATGGACGTGAGTTTGAGCAAGCTTTGGGAGATGGTGATGGACAGGGAAGCCTGACGTGCTGCAGTCCATGGGGTTGCAAAGTGTCGTATGTGACTGAGCATCTGAACTGAACAGTGTTCCACTATTTCTTTTCATTGCTTTAAAGTTTGGGAGCTCAGGTAACACAGTGGAAACATGAATTTTGGGGCAGTTGTTAACGTAAGATTGATCTTAATATTTGTGGCAGTAGTAAGAATACTTTTCTCTATCAAGGTCCACCTTCGAAGTTATCCTCACCTTCCTGTTTTTTCTCAACTTCTTTTTTATTTATTCAACAAGACTTTTAGCAGTTGCAGAGTAAGACACTACATTAAGTACTAACTATCATAGAGTTTAATTTTTCCCACACTATTGCTTGTAAAAAATCCTCTGACTGGATTCTTGAGACCCATTTTAAGTTTGTACTACAATTGCTTTCCTTTCTTATTGTCTAAAGCAAAAGTGCGTCTTAAGAGTGCAGGGTATAGTCAGTGGGGTCCCCCAGTCTGTTAGGAAGCTTAAGTTCCTGTAGTTGCCCCAAGGTTTTCCTGCTGACCACCTCCAGCCTATGCAAATGTCTTTAGGCTGCTTATCCCAGAGTCTGGAACAAACACTGCAGAGAAGCTAGTATAAGGGAAAATGAACTTTCGATTTTATATAGTTGTTGCAGTTATTCTGAAATGAGATGCCATAATAGGGCTCGGTGTGCAGGCAGCCTATAGGAAGAGTGGGCCCTGTGCCCCTGCCCACCCGCCCCCGGGTGCTTCTGTCCTTGAACCAGGGAAGTCCTTCCTGATTGCCATGAGGGGCTGTGAGGAAATTGCGGAGGAGCTGATCAAGCACCCCTAAGTCCCAAACTCACTTTCTGACTTATCTGTGATCTCGGGTTGGTCCCTTAATTCACCGGCTCAGTTCCTCCCCCAACCCCATTCCCCTTGGAGAATGAAAACCTCGTGGTGGCCAGCTCGTTGGGGTGTCATCGGGACTCAGCAGGCGCTAGTCGGGGTGCAGGGAGATCTTGATGGAAAGGCCCTGCGTGTGGGCAGGGCGGCGTGTTTGTTCCGAGTGTCACTCCTCCGGGTGGGAGTAATGAAAGCCCAGCTGACAGGTGGGGATAATGGCTGGTTTCATTCTGAAGGCCTTCAGCATGTTTGTATTAAAGAGAAGTATTGTCGGAGGCGTGTCCCTAAGTAGTCTTAATAGCGTTGTTAATTGATGTAGGTAAATTCAGTTTCATTTCCCCTTCCAGACCCCCGCGCAGACTTGAGTTTTTTTCAGCCTTTGCCAGCTCCTGGATGGTGCTGGTGTCGTTTCTTAATGAGGCCGCTGCCTTTTGAAGCGGTATCAGGCATCAGTTTCAAGCGTTCGTTGGAATGAAGTCTGTAGATGTTTTGCTTCCCCTGGCCAAGCTAATATTTTCTGTCTTTACACTTGAAGTAATGGATGCCCCAGGGTAACTAGCGTGAACAGATGGACACGCAGAATTCTCTACAGGTGGCTTTTTTTGAACTTCAGTTTCTAAAATCATCCCACTTTCTTGTTCTGATTTAGGATGCTTGTTTGTTGCTTCTTAATTCCAGTTCATTCTCCCCCACAAACATAGGGTTTCTTGGAGACATGTGGCATTCCTTTCTCCCCCGACTTTTTTTAAAAAAGATACCTAACATATACCCCTTTTGCCATGCCAAGAGGAGTAAGACCAAAGTTCTAGCCCAGGGTCAACATCTTCTCTGTAGATTCCACTGCTCTTCAGGGGTGATTGTTCTTAGGACTCATCTGGTTTAATCTTGAGCACCTTGGCTTAGGTTCTAGTTTGGGGAAAGCCCTGTCTGAGCTAGACTCATCTTCTCCTGTCCCTGTCCATACTTCGCTTACCAGTGTAAGCATGTACTTGCTGTTACCATGGAAATGCAAAGAAATTATGAAATTTATATTTTAAAAAAGTTTATTAGACTTTAAAGCATCAGGGGAAAAGGAAGTTGCTTGGAAAAGCAGAAATGTCTTAGAAACAAGCCCCCATGGCAGCCCTGGTCTCTCCTGTGTCTAGACCCAGTTCGTTCATTTTTCTGTACTCCACACAAAATTAGGTCTGTATAGGTAGCCATGCATCTTCTCAAGAGTCAGGAGTACCCAGACAAATTAAAGTCCGTCTGGCATTCACACTTCATTGAGAAATGACTTCATCAGATTTCTTCCTTCCTGATTTATGACTGAGATCATATGCTTGAGGTGATTTTGGTAGGGAGAAGAGGTTCCCTGCAAAACATTAAAACAGGGTGCTCTGGTGGAGTTTAGAATTTGTCAGGTAGGAGGGCACTGGTCCCTGGAGGATGAGGAGATTGCTGCAGGGGTCGGGGGAAGATGTAAAGGAAGGTGGGAGGAAGATAAACACGACTTGGGCTCTGTAAAGATTTCATCCAAAGCCAACTATGCCCCTTGCCCCTAGTTCCAAGAATTCATAACTTTATCCTCCAAATATCCAGCCACCGCTGTGCCCATGGCCCAGTGCTCCATCCTGGCTGAAAACACTGGTGTTGTAGTTCAGGTGTATTGTGGGTTAAATGGACTTTTGTGGCCTGAGGTCCTAAATATAGCATCATGTTTCTAAGGAAATGAAACTTCACCAATGAACTTTGGAGACACAGATAACTTATTGGCTGGGGTTATCTGTTCTGCACCAGTTTCCGTGTTTCCAGTCAAGTGAGTCGTTCTGGATAGCCTTCATATCCTGGAACAAGGTTTAATTTTTTGCTTGGACTATAGATCTAAGGGTTTATAAAAGCATTGAGATTTGGATAGTGATACAAAGTAAGGGCCTCTCAAAGCCTGAAGATCTAAAATAAATAGAGGAAGAAATAAGTTAGGGGGAGAGAATTAACTTGCCTGAACATCAGTTTTAGGCCCGGCACTGTGCTGAGGGGCCTTCCCTGTGTTGGCACCTAGCGGGCATTGCCACCTGCCCAGTACCCAGGAAAAGGTGCTCATTCCTCCAGGCGGGAAGACGTTTGCTGCTTGTCATCCAGGTGAGATCACCCAAGGAGGCAGGCATCTCCACCTTGAAATGGACAAGAAGTGATCCTGGCAGGGGGAGACATCTAAAAGTGTCAACCCTAATTATTAATAGAGAGGCGTTATGGATTCACTAATACAGATTGCCTTGGTAAGTAGAGCACTTTTGCTACAAGGAAACAGTTTATACTGATTGTTGGATGAGTGGTGTCTGCCTCCAGAGGAGTGGAAATTATAAACCAAAAATCCCCCGTATGGAATTAAGTGACACAGGACAGCCAGTTCTGAGGGAGCCTGGCGTCCAGCGGAGCCCCACTCGCAGGAAGGGGTCTTGCTGGTGGGACAGGACATACTTGGTTATAGTTAACTGGACAGTGTAGGAAGTGGGAAGGAACGCAGGGGCCGGTGCAAACAGAGCTCAGGGTTTCTTTGATCGTCTGTATGTGCTCTGAACTCCTGGGTATGGAGCATATCTTTTAAAGATGTGATAAAACTCCAGGGAGGTGGAATATCTCACATGTTTTTTTCCAGAGGTGACTTCTAAATCCTCACTGCCAGGTGGGTTGGGGTGCAGCTGCCAATCACACAATTTCATCTTCTAAATGCTGACAGTGAAGAGCTTGCCATCAGACACACACCTCAGCTCCTGCTGGAGTGAGCACCATCAGAGGAGGAGGAGTAGGTGTGGAGTCTGGGTTTCTTTCCTGGATTTCGCCTTCATGGCTGAAAACCACCCGAAGACTCAGAAGAGTCCGTCCTGTGGGCCGTGCTTCCTGCTGTCTTCATCGGACCCGCAGGAGGAGGTGCTCGGGGTCGGGTGGGAGGAGGGCTCTCACGGGCGGATGGAGCTGCGCCTTCCTCTCCTCGTGCAGGATCTCATCTCTGGGAGGGGGGTGGTCAGAGCCTGTTTCAACATGCCATTCGTCTCCTCCTGGTTCAGTTCCCTTGCCCGGTTCACCTTCGGGGCAGGGCCGGGGCCCGCAGAGAAGAGACAGGACCAGATCGGAGCATCCTCTCCCTCGTGGGAGAGCGCTGTGTGCTTTGAACTCTAACGTGCCAGCTCTCAGGAGAAACGCCAAGGCGTTCTGCCGGGTTGTCCCTCTGAGCCGAACGTGTT